GATTTGATCACTGTTCTACAGTGGAATTGTCGAAGTCTCATTCCTAAATTAGATTCTTTTAAGTTTTTAATTCACAATAATGATTGTGATGCATTTGCTGTTTGTGAAACTTGGCTCTCTTCAGATATCGATCTTCCTTTTTATGATTTTAACATTATTCGACTGGATCGTGAGGATTCGCGTGGAGGAGGGGTACTTTTGGGGATCAAAAAGTGCCATTCCTTCTATAGAGTGAATCTTCCACAATTTCCAGGTATTGAAGTTGTTGCATGTCAGGCTATTATTAAAGGTAAGAGCCTTTGTATTGCTTCTGTTTATATTCCTCCTAGAGCCGTTGTTAATCGCAAACAACTTTCAGATATCTGTTCGGTACTTCCTGCTCCACGGTTGATTATGGGAGATTTGAATTCCCACGGTACAGGCTGAGGGGAACTGTATGATGACAACCGTTCTACTTTGATATATGACCTCTGCGACAGCTTTAATATGACAATTCTTAACAATGGAGAAGTAACACGTTTGGCTGGCCCATCCTCGAATGGAAGTAGATTAGACCTCACACTTTGCTCTAACTCATTATCGTTGGATTGCACGTGGAATGTGATCCAAGATCCCCACGGTAGTGATCACTTGCCGATCAAAGTTTCAGTTGCCAGTGGGTTCAATCCGTCGGAACCCGTTAACGTCGCGTACGATCTTACCCGTAATATCGATTGGACAAAGTTCAAAAATGTGATAGAAGATGCCCTAACGTCGGTAGAAGGGTTTCCACCGTTGGAGGAATATAACTTCCTCTCCAATCTGATCTTGGACAGCGCGCTTCAAGCTCAAACTCGGCCGGTTCCAGGAACGTCTTTCCGTAGGAAACCTCCTTCCCCTTGGTGGGACCAGCAATGCACTGAGGTTTATCGTAAAAAGTCCGACGCGTTTAAGCTTTTCCGGAAACGGGGAACACCCGTACATTTCGAAGCGTACTCGGCTCTTGAACGCGAACTCAAGAGCCTCATCAAAGCCAAGAAACGCGGATACTGGCGGCAATTCGTGGACGGTTTATCGCGCGAAACGTCGATGAATGCGCTTTGGAACACGGCGCGAAGGATGCGTAACCGGTCTTCACACAACGAGAGTGAGGAGTACTCGGATAGTTGGATTCTCAAGTTCGCGCGAAAAGTATGTCCTGATTCTGTGCCGGTACAGATGACTCCTCGCGAAACGACGAATTCGGTAGACGAGATCAGCCAGCCTTTTTCAATGCTGGAGCTGTCACTCGCGCTCCTTTCGTGTGGCAATTCGGCTCCGGGGGCTGATAGAATCAAGTTCAACTTGTTGAAGAACCTCCCAGACGTCGCTAAGAGGCGCATGTTGAACTTGTACAATCAGTTCTTGGAGCTTAATATTGTTCCGGATGATTGGAGACGGGTGAGAGTTATAGCCATTAAAAAGCCTGGAAAACCCGCGTCAGATCACAACTCGTATCGTCCCATTGCGATGTTATCGTGTATTCGAAAATTGTTGGAGAAAATGATCCTTTTTCGCCTGGACAAATGGGTTGAGTTGAACCACCTACTCTCAGATACTCAATTTGGTTTCCGTAGGGGCAAGGGAACGAACGACTGTCTCGCGTTGCTTTCCACTGAAATTCAGTTGGCTTTTGCTAATAAAGAGCAAATGGCTTCTGTCTTCTTGGATATTAAGGGGGCTTTTGATTCAGTATCGGTTGAAGTCCTTTCAGACAAACTCCACGCTTGTGGCCTTTCTCCATTAATTAATAACTTTTTGTACAATTTGCTGTCAGAGAAACATATGAGCTTTTCTCATGGAAACTCTACAGCTTCACGATTTAGCTACATGGGTCTCCCCCAGGGCTCATGTTTAAGCCCCCTTCTGTATAATTTCTACGTCAGAGAAATTGACAATTGTCTAAGGGACAACTGCACGTTGAGACAACTTGCAGATGACGGAGTAGTGTCTATGACAGGACCCAGAGAGGCCGACCTGCAAGGACCCTTACAGGATACCTTAGACAATTTATCTACTTGGGCTATCCAACTAGGTATCGAATTCTCTACGGAGAAAACTGAGTTGGTCGTTTTTCTAGGAAGCATAGCCCAGCACAACCAAAGCTTCAACTTTTGGGTAAGCCGATCACTCATTCTATGTCTTTCAAATATCTTGGGGTCTGGTTCGATTCAAAATGCACCTGGAGATCCCACATTGAGTATCTGAAGCGGAAATGCCAACAAAGGATCAATTTTCTCCGAACAATTACCGGAACGTGGTGGGGAGCCCATCCGCAAGATCTTCTAACGTTGTACCGGACAACGATTTTATCGGTTTTAGAGTACGGTAGTTTTTGCTTCCAGTCGGCGGCTAAAACGCACATCATCAAACTGGAACGGATCCAGTATCGCTGTCTTCGTATCGCGTTAGGATGCATGCACTCGACTCATACGATGAGTCTCGAAGTGTTAGCGGGCATGTTGCCACTCTCTGATCGGTTTTCGGAATTATCCCTCAGGCTCCTCACCCGTTGTGAAATTATGAACCCACTGGTGATTGCAAACTTTGAGAAGCTTCTTGAGCTAAACCCTCAAACTCGTTTTATGTCATTGTACTACGTGTACATAACACAGGATGTCAGCCCTTCGCAGCATAATCCCTATCGTGTTTGCTTCTCCGACTTCGACAATTCTGTTCTATTTGATTTATCAATGACGCAAGAGATTCGCGGAATCCCAGAGCATCATCGTTCCATGATTGCTCCGTCAATTTTTGCTGCAAAGTTTGGCCAAGTTGATTCCGCAAGATCGTTCTTCACAGATGGATCACTAATAGAGGCGTCCGCTGGTTTTGGTATTTATAACGAATTTCATAGCGCCTCTCGAATGCTTCATGCTCCTTGTTCCGTATATGTTGCTGAGCTGGCGGCAATACATTGTACGCTAGAAACGATCGCCTCACTTGCACCAGATCATTATTTTATTTTTACGGATAGTCTCAGTTCTGTCGAGGCTATTCGCTCCATGAGGCCGGTAAAGCACTCCTCGTATTTTCTCATGAAAATACGAGAGCTTCTAAGTGCTTTATCTTTAAGATCTTTTGTCATCACCTTTGCATGGGTCCCATCTCATTGCTCGATTCCGGGCAATGAGAAGGCGGACTCGCTTGCAAAGGTGGGCGCTATATGGAAGGCGATATTTACGATCGACAAATCGCCTACGACGAATTTTTCTTCATTTATCGTCAACAGTCCCTCGCCAGCTGGCAAAATAAATGGAGTGAAGGGAGTTTGGGACGGTGGTTGTATTCAATTATCCCTAAGGTGTCGAAGTGTCCTTGGTTCAAAGGTTTGGAGGTGGGTCGAGACTTCATTCGTGTGATGTCTCGCCTCATGTCCAATCACTATTCACTAAGCGCTCACTTGTTCCGTGTTGGGCTGGGGGAACAGTAATCTCTGTGAATGTGGACAAGGTTACCAGGACGCAGATCACATTATTTGGTCATGTGCTGAGCACCGTGGAGTCAGATCCGAGTTGTACGATTCCCTTCGGGCTCGAGGTAGACAACCTAATGTTCCAGTTCGGGATATTTTGGCTAGACGCGATCTGGAGTTTATGCAACTCATATATGTTTTCTTGAAGAATATTAACCATAGATTGTAAGTTTGATTAACCTTGTGTTTAGTTTGTGTTTTGTATGTGTGTGTGTATTTTTTTTTTGTGGATTTGTTTCTGTAATAATTGTATAATTACAGAGTTGATATAACGTCGATAGGATTAAGTATTTGTTTTAGAAATAGTGAAATTTTTGAATCATAAATCATATTCCAAATCTCCTTTTCCCTCTCCCGATCCAAACAATTGTCATCCACTAACCTCGAGAAGACCGCGAGTAATCGGTTCCAATCCTTTAATTTTAGATTTAAGACATTTATAATGTATAAAGAAAATGATAACTTGGCTCTGTAAAGTTTATTCGAATGAGCCTGTACAAATAAAGTAATTAACAAAAAAAAAATATCTTTTAGTGAGCGATATTCATCAGGAACACTGGTATTTTTTACTGGATTTTTTTTAAAGTACAAACTTACATGACTGTCCAATAGTTGCTAGATGTCTGTTTCCACCCATTGCATATTAACAGTTCTTTACTTTAAAATATATCGGACAATATTGATATACATCTTATCCTTCGCTTACCACATTTTGAATGTGCAAAGCAATATCATGTACTAGGGGAAATGTATGTAATGTCGGTTTAAGTGTCCCTAATTTGGGCCCATACATAAATTCAGCAATCGACTAAATTTTCAATAGCGACCAAGAATATCCATAAGTACCGTCCCAATGACGCGTTAATCTAGATAAAACTGATATATAGCAGATTTTTACCGATGGGCCCAATCTTAGATCCATTAGAGCCATTTCCCCTAATTATGTGAAATTACTATTGAAATCATTCCATATTGCTGCCGCAGTTTTCAACTGATAATCCAATGGGATCTATCGATCATCACATCACAATGCATACAGCTTCTGACATTGAGTTGTAAGATGGATCCAATAAACCGTCCATGCTGATTTGTTTCAGTGTATATACTTCACAGAGTTGCCAGTTTATAAAAATTTGGCAGATTTTTTCAGAGAGCTATTTAAAGTGCAGAGGAATCTCATCAAGCATACGAAAGGAAACAGTTTTGCGTTCTTAGAGATTAAAATTTGATATTGCATTGCTAACATTTTTCCAGTTACTCTCCTGAAAACTAAATTTCGGCAAAACAGTTTGCTCCCTGTAACCAGATCAAATATACAGGGATGTTCATAAACTATGAAGACCGTTTTGAGAGGTTTTAGACCTACCCCATTTTTTTTTATTTGTACTGACGGCAGACATTCGCCAACTCCCCTCCCCCCAGCATATACGTGGTTTATGAACAGCCCGTACTATCTCTGGAAAAAAAAAGAAAAACCAGGGATCGAAGAAAATGCCATCAATAATACCTTGGTAGCTTTCTGCTCGGTGGCAACGGCATTCGCTGAAAGGTTGGTGCGTTTTTTGTTAGCTAGAAACTTCAAATTAAAATTTATGCTCGGCGTTGGCACACTGTTGAGATGCAACCGAAAGGAACAGAACCGTTGCCGGCGGGTCTCCCTCTCGATGCTGTCCGGCGTTTGGGTGCTCTGGTCACAGGTGCCACCACCACCCACTCCAGCCCTGCCGAGCTGACCTGCAATGTCATGGCGACGGTAATGATTATGGTGATGGTGGTGATGGTGGTTGTTATGGGCTCTCCGGGCCATTCCAGGTCGACCACTGTTGCCGAAGGACGACGGTGACGACGGCGAAGAAACGATGCTAGTTGGATTGGTGCCACCGTTGCTGTAGCTTCCAGCTAGGACCGCCTGTGTCGACGCCGAAATGGTGCCGATTCTAAAAAAAAAAATATTTATTAGCGGGTGGGAAATGTTGCACTTGCATGCGGGAGATAATGCAAAAATGTTGTTCCACTGAAACCCAACACTAAACAGTGCTCTCAAAGCTGTATTTAGGAACATATGAATGGTTGCGCTTAATCCTTGAGTTCTCGGTAAATAGTATCTTAGGGAAAGTTTCTTCATATTTTTTGGGCCCATCTTTTGGTAAAAATAGGGTGGTTCCCTATGGTTATTGAGTTCAAAACATCATCTTTTTAGTTATTTTTAATACACCAGCATAGTGTACAACAACATTGTTGAACAATGAATTACACAGTTCGAAAAAGAAGTGTTAACTTCTGTTACTATGATGTACATAAATGGAGCGTCATATATTTTACAAGTTTACATTATGCATATTCCAAATATTGTTTGCAACCACACATCTTTGTAAGAAACATTTCTTGCAAGTTGCTTGTTTAAAGGGTGATACGGTCAAAATTTGGTCAAGGGAAAACGCGTGTAAATCGGTGAAATCGTTTATTTAAAAAATCAAATTAAATTTCTTTTTCAAGTTCAATTAGTATAAAATTCAGGAAAAATATTCAGTTAGGCTTCCGCTTTTCCAAATCCGAATTGCCGGGCCTTACGCTTGACCCCTGCCATCAGATTTTGTACAGCCACCTTGTCCACCTTCTTCGCCGCAGAAAGCCAGTTTGCCTTGAACTGCTGCTCGCCCTTAGCAGTTTTTTTGGTCTTCTTTAGGTTCCGCTTGACAATAGCCCAGTATTTCTCAATTGGGCGGAGCTCTGGCGTGTTGGGAGGGTTCTTGTCCTTGGGAACCACCTGCACGTTGTTGGCGGCGTACCACTCCATGGCCTTTTTACCGTAATGGCAAGATGCCAAATCCGGCCAAAACAGTACGGAACAACCGTGTTTCTTCAGGAAAGGCAGCAGACGTTTATTCAAACACTCTTTCACGTAAATTTCTTGGTTGACAGTCCCGGAAGCTATGAAAATGCTGCTTTTCAAGCCACAGGTACAGATGGCTTGCCAAACCAGATATTTCTTTGCGAACTTTGACAGTTTCATGTGCTTGAAAACATCTGCTACCTTTCCCCTTCCTTTTGCCGTATAAAACTCCTGTCCCGGAAGCTGCTTGTAGTCGGCTTTGACGTAGGTTTCGTCGTCCATTACCACGCAGTCAAACTTCGTCAGCATCGTCGTGTACAGCCTCCGGGATCGCGCTTTGGCCGTCGTATTTTGTTTATCATCGCGATTTGGAGTCACTACCTTCTTGTAAGTCGATAGTCCGACTCGTTTTTTGGCTCGATGCACGGTTGTAGACGATACACCCAGCTTATTTGCGGCATCTCGGAGAGAGAGGTTAGGGTTTCGCTTGAAACTACCGGCAACTCTCTTTGTCGTCTCAGCGGCTTCCGGTTTTCGATTTCCTCCCGATCCAGACTTCCTGGCTGTCGACAAACGTTCCCCAAACACTTTAATTACATTTGTAACGGTTGATTTGGCAACTTTTAGCGATTTTGCCAACTTTGCGTGCGAGTAGCTCGGATTTTCGCGATGCGCGAGCAAAATTTTGATACGCTGCTCTTCTTGCTTGGACGGCATTTTGACAACTGAAAAGTGAATTCCAAAATCAAAATAGGAGCAACATTCTACACACACACACCTTCAAAATGAGGGGTGTTCAGGTTTTTTAAATGCAAAATTGAAAGAAATACGTCAAGTTGATATTGACCAAATTTTGACCGTATCACCCTTTACGTGAAAAGGAAGTCTACATGCATGAATCTTTGCATGCCTAAATGCTTACATCACAACTAAAATTAAAAAAAAAAATCTGTTTAGCTTAAAAGGTAACTTAGAGTAACTCCTATACAGTTTATTTTTTAAATTTACTTTTCATGCATTCATTTCTCACAAAAGATGTGATCTAGATAATGGAAGAATAGCGCATTTTGTTTTTTGCTGAAGCAAGTAAGTAAGCTGCTATCCCTTTCTGTTGGAAAGTTATAATCCTTGTTTGTTGAAAAATAAGCAGTTTAAAATTATAAATATCTCAAACAGAAGTAAGTGGATTTTTATGTTATTAGTTGCATTTTGTAAGGTTGAATATGTTCGTGCTTTTATTTATGTAAAGTGTTGTTTTCTCAAAACGGAACTAAAGAACTGGGACAAATCGATTATAGAAGCCATTTGGAAAAACCCTATATACGAATTTCGCGCCAAATCGTATTCGGAGCTGGCAGCACCCTCTCAGATTGCAATGAAACTTTCTGGATGTGTGGATCTTGACTAAAAAAGCCACTTTGCATACACTTAGTTTTTGAAAAATTTATCTAGACTAACCTTTGAGAAGGACCAAACTTTTATTGCCGATTTTTTTTTTCAAAAAATTAATATGGAAAAATTACAACTCCTACCTACAAAAGTGTCCAAATTATCTAAAAAAAAATACTGAAAAAAATCCATTAGAGACATACATTAAAAAATTCAATTTTTTAAAATTTGAAGTCGATTTAAAAAAAGGCTAGTTTCATTTGGATGAAACTTTGTCTCAAGAATTGTGTTTAGTACCAACTGTCCATGCATCGCAAGATGGCCACTTTTAAGGAAAAAAAATACTAACAAAAACTTTTTAATGTCTAAGCTATTTTTTTTTTATTTTTCCATTTTCACATCCTTTGGTCCCCGGTTCATGAGTTGATTGGTTGGTAGGTAGGGTCCAGGTGTAGGAGCTGCCTTCCTGGCGTCGGTAGCATTGGTGCTCAGCACGGAAAACAAGATCGGCGGAAAACAAATCAAGGAAAAAAAAGTACACTTCTAACCTGCGTACAATTTTTTTTTTAATTTTTCCCCATATTCGAGAAGCCTTCCCCGGGAAAGCGTCGAAAATTCACTCAAACCATGGGTGATGTGCAATTTACGCTGTCGGAGACCAGCCATTTTGCCCTAGGTTTTCCCCTTCACGACGGGACGCACGTTTTACCTTCACAGCTGCCAAGATACGAAAGAGGCCGGAGCTCAGTGCTGCGCGGTCAAGTGAGCGGATGCGGGGTTGGGCGAACAGCGAGGCGGGCAAGGCACAAGTTGTATAGAGTTGAGTAGGGCTGTGTAGCATGGCTACGGTATATATATAGGGTGGGACCAAATGTAAATAAGCAGAGGATTACAGCTGTAATCATGCGAACTGTCAAATAATAATCACGACCCCACACAGGTGACACATTTTTTGGCAACTTTGAATAAACTGAATTTAAATGTGGGTAGCATTTGTCCATGTGCGTTTGGTTTGGAAAGTATTTTTTTCTAAATCATTAAAAATAAACTCACGCCGACCCACGCCGCCACACCGCCACGCCGCCGCCGCCGACAGAAAAAAATATTTCACGCCTCCGCCGAAAATATTTTGATCGGCGCACAGGTCTAGTTAATATTGATTAAGTTGATCTTGTAGTAGTCTGTAGAAGGTAAATTACTTTAATTTTTGTATTTTTATATATATATTGTATCAATCAACGAAGAGCTGAAATAACATGAATAATTAATATCGATGAATCCAATGTTTCAAAAATGTTCTGTTTTTTTATAGATGGATTATTCATATTTAACTTGAAGTTCAACATTTATTAAACCATTAGGAAATATGAACAGCCAAACCTGCTTTTCTTCAGCAAGAAATCCCTCAACTATTGATTTGGTCTTAACTGATTCAAGTCAATTTTGGGGGGCGACCCCGGCGTAGTGGTTAACATCCATACCTCGCACGCCAAAGTCACGAGTTCAAATCTCACCCCCGGACAAGTCACGAATGACCCTCGAGTGTTAAAGTGACTATAATAAAAAAAAAAAGTCAATTTTGTAGCCAATTGTTTACTCATGCTGACTTCGGTGCTGATCACCTTCCAGTAACTTTTGAAATATCGATAGAGCAGATTGGGAGCAATATCGAACGTTTATGGAATATAACTTCGATCCAGACATTCCTTTGCAAACCAAAGATGATGCTAATTATGCACTTGAATCTCTGACTACTTCTAAAGTTGAAACAAGAGCTGCCTCAGTACCAAAATGCGAGGTTAAATTCGATTCAATTGCAGATGATGATCTTCAACTCTTGGTCCGGCTGAAAAATATCCGTAGGAGGCAATATCAAATAACACGCGATCGTGTCATGAAAATTATCTGACGGGATTTGCAAAATCAAATTGAAATGCGATTCTCTGCCCTGATGAAAAAAATTGATGAAAATAATGTTTCGAAATTAGACCCGAGTTCCTAACCCTTTTGGAAGCTCACAAAAAAAAAACCTCAAAAGCCTATTTACAAAGCTTAAAGAAGGTAGTAAAACTTTTATCACAAATTCGGAAAAGACACAGAAACATGCTAAGCAATTCGAGAGCTCCCATCATTTCAGTTTGGGTCTTAATAGTCCTATTGAGAAACCTGATTCGGGGATCTCTGGGGATTTTTTTTGCAGCATTGTAGGTCCAGCAGGCTTCGTTAAAGCATCGGCGACCATTTCGGTGGTGGGGCAGTACACAAGCTTCACGATATTCTGCTCACACAGTTCCCGTACAAAATGTCGTTTGGTGTCGATATGCTTTACTCGACCACTAGACCTCTCCGCCTTGGCGAAACTAAGACATCCTTGGTTATCCTCGAAAATTGTCGTCGGTTCGTTTTGTGGATGTCCAAGCTCGTTCAGAAGTCGCCTCAACCATACCACTTCCTGGCAGGCCAAGGTGAGCGCGTTGTATTCCGCCTCAAGAGATGACAAAGCAACCGAGCCTTGTGCCTTACTCACCCAGCTGACCGGACCGCTACCGTTAAAGAAAACGAAACCAGTAGTCGAACGTCTGGTCTTCCGATCACCAGCCCAGTCTGAATCAGTATATCCAACCAGTGTCCAGTTTTCCTTTGAACCATACCGGAGCTTCCATCCCTTTGTTGTGATTAGATACTGCAGAACGCGCTTTGCCGCTGACCAATCCA